TAACCGATCGTGGCGGACAATATTGTAATTTGCGATTCTGGGATCGCGTACACTAGGTTTCAAGAATGTCTCTTGCACTAGGAAAATATCTACATTATAATCGCGAAGGAATTCCGCGATTTCATCCCTTTGACCCTTTATGCCGTTTGCGTTGAAATACGAAACGACCAGAGCCCGAGGTTTTGTTCTGTTCTACCTGCGGTTGTACTTCCCATTAAGGTGCCTTTATGGGTCTAATTAACGACGCGGCGGAGCGCGGTTTTATTGCGCGGACTATTGTTCTTTATGGTTGGCTCGTAAAAGCCCAAAGGGCTTCCACAAGCGTTTTGTGTTGGCTAATTGCCCTAAGACGCTCGTGGCCAGATGTGGCGGCCGCTATTTTAGCGGACAATACGGCGAGTTCCTGTCTATTTATTGTATCTAATAAACTGCAAATGTTCGCTATTTGCGCGAATGGGTCGTCTTTGTTTTCCGCGAAAACTGACGGAATTGGCTGCACCTGCGGCCGCGGCGCCGTTTGAGAGGCGGGCAGCTGTTTCGCGATCGGTCGTGAGGCGACCGGGATTACCGGTGCGGTTACCTGCGCGGCCACTTGGGGTTTCGCCCAGGAGTTTACGACGGGTACGGGCGCGGGAATGAATCTGACGGGCGCGGGTTTGGGCAACGTCGATTTCGCGGGAGATTTCCTCGCGGGAGTTTTCGGGGCCTTAGCGCAGCCTCTGTAGCTAGCCGGGTGGCCGGTGGCGTTACAGTTTACGCAGTCCGGTGGATCTGCGCAACCTTTCGGCCTCGTGCACTCGGTTGTGCCGTGGTCACCGGTGCATTTGACGCACCTTGGGTGAGCGAAGCAGTTATTGGCCGTGTGGCCAAAATGTTGGCAGTTGTGGCACTGTGCCACAACACCTGACTTACGTGGGGGCTCGATGACTAAGTCACTGAGCCCACAGACCCTCTTAAGGTTGAAAATGGCCTTACCTTCCGGGGTAGGGTCAAGTTCCACCATGACCATGTCCATAGGGACACGGGTGCGAGGGTGCCTGAGACGACGCACGGCGTGGACAGGGTATCCCTGAGTGCGGATGTCGACCTTAGCCATATCGACATCCGACTCTTTTGGGACGCCCTTAATTACGACCCGAAGTTTGCGCTCTTCGGGTAGTGAGTAGGTGTGGAAACCTACCTTAGCTTCGCGCAAGTATTTAGTTACGCGACGGAAGTCGTCCGAAGAATCGAGGTATACGCGGATATCCATATGCGTATTCTTGGACCGGGGGTCTCGGATGTTGTGGCGTTCAAACCACGAACAAACCTGGTGCCACTTTGCCTTATCTTGTATTATTATTGGCGGCGGTGGCTTAATTTTTCGCTCGGAGGCGAAAGTCGGTTCCGATTGGGCAGACGCGGCTGCCTTTTTGGCGGGCGTCGCGGTGGGACGGTTTGACGGGGCGGCCTCGCTTTCGGGGTCGCTGTCGGTAGCGGGGCGTTTCTTGCCCTTTTTTCGCGATTTGACGACGGTGAAGCCGTCGGCGTTCGCGTTATTAGCGGGGGTCGTTTCGACCTCCATGTCTGAGCCGCCGTCCGATTGTGAGTCGGGAACGACAGCGCAGAAGGGGGCCGAGGTGGTTTGCGCGGAAGGCGCGTTGGGTTCGTTCGCGGCGGCGGAAGTCGACGCGACGGGCGTATTAATTGTCGCAGAGGGCGACATAGTAGCAGGCGCAGAGGGCACCGGAGATGGCGGCGAGACGGCAGCCGGTGAAGCCGGACTGTCGCTAGAAAATTCGACGACGATGCGTCGTTCCCTCGCGAAATTTAAATATTTAACCCATAATTCAGGGCATTCTTGACGCAGGAATTCCTCTATGAGGGAACCCATGTCGACGCTTGAGCCTTTGGGGCTTGCGCCCCGCCGGCGTGTGGTTTTCTAAATAGGCCTCCCCACCTTGCGGCAGGGAGGTGTGTGCCTAAAATTAACCTTTAGTCGCCTGCGCTTTAGGTGCGCTAGGGTGAGTACCTAGCTGTCGCCTAATGCAACAAGCACACAGATAAAAATTACAATGCCGCCTCTGAGACGAGAAATGTGTGTAGATTCTACTTACGGACAGGAACCTGCCTACGAGCACAACACTACACTAACACTATCCGCTCGGAAGTCGGGCAAAGTTTCTTCTTTCTTCTGTAACGTTTCTTCTATCTTCCATAATTATTCTTCACTCTTCTTGCTTGAGACTTCCCTAACCGTAGACCGCGAAACACGACAACGATGAGGCAAGCAGTGCACACCGAGATATAAAACAAATAATATAAGTAGCAACAACGGTTGCAAAATGGCTTCCGGGTCGGTTGGCATGGGCCCTCCGGCTCAGAGTTACGTCCGTTCCGTGTGGAAGCACGAAGCGAACCTAAAATGTAAAAAAGTTTATAGCGCCCGCCTTGTCGCTTGGTAGTATCGCCGTCTCCTTCCCGCGGTTGCGCGGCAACGGCTCTCTTGGGGGCGGGGCGTGCTGTCGGCACGGCCGACCGCGGCGCCGCACTGTCTCGGCGCGTAATGGCCGCCCGTGCGGTTGGAGGTGCGGGGGCGGGGGGGTGTTGTTCCCCGCGCTGTGTCGTATTTTGCGCGTTCCCGCGTCTTCCCACCGTCGTCCATCCGTCCCTGTTGTCGATGTTCCTCGGCGGATCGGGTGTGGGAGCGTTTAGTTGTATGCCCCGTTTTCGCGCTTCTTTTTTGAAAACGGGGCACCTTCGGTCATTTGCCGTGTGGTTCCGTCCGCAGTTGGCGCATTTGACTTGCGCCCCTTGCGGTAGTGGGCACTCAGACGCTATGTGCCCACCTGCACACTTTACACATTTTACTGGTTTGAAGCACGCCGCCGACGAATGCCCGAAGGCTTGGCAGCGGTGGCACTGTGATGGGCCGGTTCTCCCTTTCCAGTAAAAGACTTCAACGCCCGGCATACTTAGCAATTCATTAATTGCGTATAGCCGGGCGAGGTCTTGTTCGTTCAGGTGTTCTAGTTCTACAAAGAATAGGCATCCCGGTCGTTTTCGTTGCCTCGGGATGAGTTTCGTGTACTTGGCGGGGAAGCCCATAGATGTTAGGGCTTCCGTAATCTCGCCTGTTTTCAACCATAATCGGTGGGTACCCCTTCCTTGTGCTCTCCTGAGTGGACTGACCTTTGGTGATCTTCGGCGCCTTGGGTGAACTAGTCCGCCCTTGGGCGCTTGGTGATGGTGGTTTTAGTGCTGCCGCCGCATACGACGTTGACGGCTTCGGTTCGTTGTTAGATGGTATTACACGGCTTGCGCCCTCGTTCGCGAACGTCGCATACGACGTCGCGTCCGTCCATACGGACTCTCCTCCGTACTCCTCCATTTCGAGGTCCCGATTGGACCTCCTATCCGGGGAGATACTGGGTGTACTGGTTGGAGTAATATTTAGTGAAGGCGACCTGGGGGGTTGGGAATACGCCCTCGCCCCAGGTTGACTTACTTGTGCTGGTTTGTCCCGTTGTTGCGGCCCCTCCTCCGGCGATGAGGTGGGGGGGCCCACCTTCGTCCTCTTCTCCAGGAGGGACGCCTCCGTCTCGGGTGGGGTATGCCTACGCTGCGCCTTCGGCTGGCGTGGCGGTGGGGTATAATCTGCGGGGGCTGCATAAAAATATGAGCCCCCTGCGATTTCTCCGCTTCCGCTTGCCCGTGGCTGCGGCTGCTGTCGGATGGTTGGTTCCGAGGCTGTCTCCTCCTCTTCGTCTTCCTCGGTACGTGAGTAATTAGACGCCTCCGACGATGGCCTGCCGGAGCGCTGTTGCGCACTCATTGTGCGGATAGACGGTAGCGGACGCGGCGGCTCACCGGAGAAAATATTTCTCGCGGCGAGTTGACGTTCCACTACCGGCACCTGACGCCTGCTGCGCCTTTGGGGCTGCGGGGGAGGTTCCTCCTCTCCCTCCATTGCGCGTACGGCCGATGTTGGTGGCGGTGCAGTTCCCCCATCAGAGAGCTTACATTTTTTATTTGGCACCCCTTTGCCGCGTTACCTTAAAGAATCTAGGTCTTATAACTAGATTACAAATAATTAAAATTTAATGTTTTAATAATTACGAGGACACTTTTAAAATACACTTTTTCCCTAATCAACTTATTGCACTAGTTTCACAATATATGTGTTAAGACTCATATAAAAACGGTTATACAATTAAAATCTTATAGTATTTCTTTATACAGACATTTTTATAAACAATTTAAAGTAAGCAAGTTTTAAGCAAGATTTAAGCAAAGTTTTAAGCAATTATCTTGATTTATGTTATATGAATTAAATATTAAATTACTTAGACTAGTACACTTATCTTACTTTTCATAAGTCGCTAACAAACCAAAGTTATCCCGCACAGTCATAAATATGTCAAAGAGAAAATAATAATACATGTCATCGTCAAATTGCTATATATGTCACCTATATTTACTATTATAATTATATTAATTAAATAATAATTTTACAAACAAAATTAGTTATTGAAATATTCAGAAAGACTATAAAAACACTTGCTGAGAAGCCATTCTATCAACTTTCGTTTAAACGTTTGACTTGTTTCATTCTTTATTGTGTCTGGCAGACGATTGTAGAAAGCATTCCTGTTAAAGAAGTTGTGTTCCTAGTATGCCTCTGTTACATCAGACTGTTGTACAAATAAATTTAAATTTTGTCTTACAAACGAAGGCTCTGGAAGCTCACATGCAGATACTGTTTAACCAGGCGACCGCAAGTGTAGTTTACAGTGGAAGTACTACCCGTACTTTTCTTGAAAAGTACCAGGCAGTGCGCGTACGAGAGTGCGTTGAATAACCTCAATCTTCGAAACCCGCGCACCTCTCCCTGCTCGCTGGGCGACTCGCTGGGCCTCCCTTCGGGGTCTCACCCGGTTGGTTTGCCCGCGCTGAGGGGAGTAGGGTGCGCGTGAGTTCGCCAGGATTCAGCACCGCCACCAACATCGGCCGTACGCGCAATGGAGCGAGAGGGGGAACCTCCCCCGCAACCTCAAAGGCGCAACAGGCGTCAGGTGCCGGTAGTGGAGCGTCAGCTTGCCGAGAGAAATATTTTCTCCGGTGAGCCGCCACGCCCACTACCGTCCATCCGCACAATGAGTGCGCAGCAGCGCTCCGGCAGACCATCGCCGGAGGCGAACATAACCACCACGGAAGACGAAGAAGACGACGACGAGGAGGAGGAAACGTCATCCGCAGCAACCACCATCAGACGCCCGCCGACTATACGGGCAAGCGGGAGCGGAGAAATCGCAGGGGGCTCATATTTTTATGCAGCCCCCGCGGATTATACCCCCCCGCCACGCCAGCCAAAAGCACAGCGGCGTCACACCCCGCCAGAGACGGAGGCGTCCCTAGCGGAAAAGCGGACGAAGGTGGACCCCGCTACCTCATCGCCGGAGCAGGGGCCACAGGAACCACGGGAACCAAGGGTGAGTCAACCTGGGGCAAGGGCTTACTCCCAACCCCCCAGATCACCATCTAACAACTCAACACCGGCCACAACCCCCAGCATTTCCCCGGACAGAAGGTCCAATAAGGATCTCTACATGGAGGAGCTGGGAGGGGAATCAGCATGGACAGATGCTACATCTTACGCAACATTTGCGAATAACGGCACCAACAGAGGTGCCAATATAACAACACCAACCACCAGCGAGCCGCAGCCGTCAACATCATACGCTGCGGCCGCAACTAAGCCGCCTTCTCCCAGTACCTTGCGGAGAACAAGCTCGCCAAAAGCGACTAATAATACCAACAAGGAGAAGTCCACCCAGGAGTCCACCAGAAAGGGATATCCACCCATTATGGTGGAAAAACTCCCGGAGTGGACTAAGCATTTCAAAACTCTCCAGCAACAACTAGGCCACGCCCCGAATGCGAGGCCGTATCGCAGTGGTTTTAGATTCCTACCACAATCTCCACAAGAATACCGGACGGTACAGAAATATTTAACCACGCTATCCAAAACTGTCGAAGTGTCCTGGTACTGTTACACGCCGGCCAGTGAACTCCCTACAAAAATAGGGATCAAAGGACTACCAGAAAGTACATCTACGGAAGAGATTATGGAGGCCCTACTTAGCCTGGGCTTTCCAGTTAAGTATGTGAAACTTATACCTAGGCAAAGGAGAAGACCAGGATGCCTATTTTTTGTTCAACTAGAACATCTCAATGAACAAGACCTCGCCCGGCTATACGCAATTGACGAGTTGCTAAGTATGCCGGGCGTTGAACTCTTTTATTGGAAGGGACGCACAGGGCCCTCCCAATGTCATCGCTGTCAGACATTCGGGCACTCGTCAGCAACATGCTTTAAACCGGTGCGATGTGTTAAATGCGCCGGAGAACACATTGCATCGGAGTGCCCACTGCCGCAGGGAGCGCAAGTGAAGTGCGCGAACTGCGGCAGAAACCACACGGCGAACGACCGTCGTTGCCCCGTTTACAAAAAGGAAGCGCGAAAACGGGGCATACAACTGAATGCGCCCACTCCGGAGCCACCGAGAAATGCGGACGGATGGGTAACTGTAGGCAAGCGCGCAACGGCGCGCGGCCCGACACAACGCGGGGAACAACACCCCCCCGCCTCCGCACCGTCACGAGAAGCCATCGCGCGCAGAGACAGCGCGGCGCCACAAGCGCCCGCCCACTCAGCACGCCCCACCCAGCGTCAAGCCGTTGCCACGCAACCGCGTGAGCAGGACGGAGATACCAGAGAGCGACAAGGCGGGCGCTATAAAAGCGCTGCACGACCGCCTGTCGCGCCGCAGTCGAGCGCGACCACCGCGCCGGCCGCTAACACCACCTTAATGCCTCCGGCGAATACGCCAAAGGACACAACTCAAACAAAAAAGAAAAAGAAAAATAAGAAAAAGCAGCGCCGGGATCGGAATGCCGACGAGGATGCTGCTGTATCTGCACAAACAACCAACGCGCGCAATAACAAAACTAACTCCAAAAACGTTATATTTACAGATTATACCACGGAGGCGGAGTCGGACAGCCAAGCTGGACGACCCCGCCGACGCCCGCGTCGACGCCTGCCTTCACTGCGGGCAGAGAGAGACCGCACACAGCCAGCACACGGGGGAGGTCACGACGGCTCGGCTGAGTCGTATGCGGAGTTGTTGCAGCGACTCGTCCGGGCCTGCGCTGACCTGATTTCTGAAGTCCTCACTGCAATAGCAGCCGGGGAGGACCCAACAAACGCGGTGATGCGCGTATTCACCCGCCTACTCTCGACGCACTATGGCTACCACACTTAAACTCCTATATTGGAACCCCGACGGTGTAAGCTCAAAGGCGGCGGAGCTACGCACCCTCGCCCAAATGTATGGCATTCATGTCATCCTTTTGGGGGAGACTAAACTTAGGTCGGGGCAAAGTTTTAAAGTTCCCAATTACTTCGTGTATCGGCGCGACGAAGTCACTCCGCAAGGAAGGGCGTACAGGGGAACCGCCGTCCTTGTACGGAGGGACTTAATACACGACGAGTTGGGACTCAATAAATTTATATCTTTATCTTCCATAGGTGTGAGGTTACATGTGGCTGGGAGGGAGATTCGAACCTATGCCGCCTACAGACCTCCGCAGTCACATCTCCACCCATCGGACATCCATTCAATTTTTGATAACACCTCCCCCGCGCTAATCGTTGGCGACCTCAATGCCAAACATGTGGATTGGGGGTCGCACACGATTAATACCGCGGGGAGGGCACTCAACGGGGACGCGGACCGGTGGGGATATGATGTGTTGGGTCCTTCAGAGCCAACACACTACCCTGCCAACGTGGCCCAAGCCCCCGACGTTTTAGACATTGTATTAAACCACGGTTGGGATCGTCCGCTCAGACTTGAGGTACTGTACGACGTAGACTCCAACCACTTGCCCCTACTTGTCTCGCTTGATTTGGAGGCGACGAGTATTGCGCCCAGACCTCCAAGAATTAGGACCGACTGGGGTAAATTTCAATCTTTGCTAAAAGATTTTTCGCTACCGGAGCAGATTACCACCCCGGAAGATGTTGAGCGCGCAGCTGTTAAACTTAGCCAACGTATCACGGAGGCTAAGGAGGCGGCCTCAAAAACACTTCCGGATAGTGCCCGGTACGACATATTACCAGCAAGTATACGCACGCTTATAAAACAAAAACGAGCGCTGCGTAAACTATGGTCGCGTTCTCGCTGTCCACAAATCAAGCGAGAACTTAACTTCATTTCCGAAAAGCTGTCGGTGCAGGTGAAAAACCACCGCGGTGAGTTGTGGGAGCGACGTATCGATGCCGCAGGTGAACATCCTACGTCGCTACACCTCCTGAACCGACAGCTGTCGCGTGTTAAACAAGCCGTCTGTCCACTCATTAATGGGGCGGGTCTACGTTGTTTTGGCTCTCAGGAAAGGGCGGATATCCTAGCCGATTTCTTAGAGGGTCAATTTAAAATGAACCCACAGAATACTAGGGAGCCTGTCGTCGTCGCGCACCACAACCTAGTCGACTGCCGCGTACAGGAATTTCTGTCGGGCCCGGCGCCGGACCTCGGGGAAGTGACATTTATGTCGCCATCCGAGGTGTGGCGAGCTGTGTTGCGCCTACCGGCGCGCAAAGCCCCTGGGCACGACGGTATTCCAAATGCGGCTCTAAAACAGCTTCCCAAACGCAGCATCGTCGCGGTCGCGCGTTTGTTCAACGGCATCCTGCGCACAGGATGCTTTCCTCAATTGTGGAAGATTGGTAAGATCTTCGTACTGCCAAAACCGGGTAAGGATAGGAGATTAGCGGCTAGCTACAGGCCTATCACCCTACTTTCGCATATAGCCAAATTGTTCGAAAAATTATTGCTAAAACGTATGTGGCCGCACATTACCCTCCGTGAGGAACAACACGGATTTAGGGGCGGCCACTCGACAACTACACAACTCACCCGGGTGCTGCACGAGCTTGTGTTCGACAGAAATGTCGGACGCAAGTCGGTCGGAGTCTTTCTCGATATCGAGAAAGCCTTCGACCGGGTGTGGCACCAGGGACTTTTATATAAATTAATTATAACAACTACCATTCCGCACGCTATCATTAGGGTGATAGCGTCCTACCTGCGGGGGAGATCCTTCTACGTTAGCGTTGAAAACTCGGTTTCGGCAGTGCGAAGCATCGAAGCCGGAGTCCCACAGGGAAGCTGTGTTGGGCCAATTTTGTACGCGGTGTACACCAATGACATCCCCACCCTGGAAGGTCGCCTCAGGGAGGGAGAGAGAGGGGTCCACTTAGCGTTGTACGCCGACGACAGTGCGTATCTTACGTCATCTCGTCGGCTCGAAATAGCAATCTCGAGGATGCAGAGGCTGCTTGACTTGCTGCCTGACTGGTTGGATAAGTGGCGGATAGCGATTAATGTACGCCAAAACGTCCGCGATCATCTTCGGTCGGAGTAGCACGAAGCGGCCTCCGTTGGCTCTCCGAGGGCAGAACATCGAGTGGCGTCCCACGGTGACTTATCTCGGGTGTACGATAGATCGCGCGCTAAGCCTAGTCCCCCAGGTTGACAATCTTGTTAACCAAACTAGAGCCGCTCGCGCGATACTACGTCCCGTCTTGGCATCCCATCTGCCGACCCGAGCTAAGATCGCCGTGTACAAAACGTATGTTCGCTCTCGGCTAACCTACGGGGCACCTGCGTGGTACGCCCTTATATCCAAACGCCAAAGGCATAGATTACAAGCCCAGCAGAATCTCGCTCTTCGAACTGTCGTGGGAGCGGGTCGCTATGTCAGAAATGACATTATCGCGAGGGATTTGGGAATCGAACCCCTCGAACATTTTATAGTCCGTGTCGCGCGTCGTATGTTCGACCGCGCCGATAACGGGCCTCACCCTCATTTACGCGGACTTGCACCGCTTCACGCTCGACCACCAGAGTGGCGCGCGCTCCCACGAGAGGTGTTGCTATTGTCCGTCCCGCCCACGCATAGGGGGAGCGAGGGGGGGGACGGCGAGACCGACGCGAACACTTAATACCGTCTATATAGCCGTTGCTATGGTGACAGTTTACTGTTGTCATAGCAAACGCTGACGCAATTAGCGCGTGTGTAAACAGTGACTGCCAGTTGTAGACAATTAACATTACATGATTAATTTATTAATTATGTAGTGTTGAATGTAAACAAAGGGCGGTCCATTTACATATGCACTAAGGGCGATTGTATGCTATCAAGTGAGATGACGTAGTGTAAATTCACGCGTCACAGCCATAGTGTCCGAGCCGAGTTAGGCGAAAACATTTCCCGGGGGGACGGTGCGCCCCTCGAGACAATGCCCGGGGCATGGGGTTCGAGTCCCCGATACCCGTACCCGCACCTACCCGACTGTTAGGGCAGTGTGTGGATGACCCGTGCTGTCCGAGGGCTCACAAATGCGGCCATTTAAGAAAGAGAATGCTCTCTTCTTGAAGGTTCCAAGGTCGTAACGATTCGTAAAGTCCGCCAGCGGCAGTTTGTTCCACAGATTATAGTATTTCATTATACAGAACTTTTTATAGGCAATCTAAAATAAGCAATTATTACTAAATATTACTATGACTTACGTTACATGAATTAGTAATAGTAAATTACTTATAATGCAAAAAGCTATTAAACTAAGTTATCCCGCACATTCTTCTAGGCCAGCCTTTCTTGCTGCAACTGGTAGTTGCATAACTAAACTGTTGCGGGTTTGCTGCTCGTAGGCAATCAGCTTACAGGTCGAAAAGCGAGGTCGCTTATTACAAATAATTAAATTTA